TTTTAAAGATACCTAAATGCTCAATTAAATTGTTCTACATTTTGCAACCAGTTCTTTTTGAAAAGCAGTTCTATATTTTGTCTTTTCTAAATCTATAAATTGAGAACCCAGAAAGCATTCTAGGAAAAATAGATTTTATTACCTTTTCTAATCATTTTCCCCCTCATGGCAATTTTACAGTTACATTAATAAGTGGTATGTAAAAAAAATAATAAGTGGTATGTAGTTATCTTAAAATGAGAGAAATTCCACTTGGATTTAAAAATGATTGTTGAGCGATTTAGTTTATTGTATGTTAGCACATCTAGCTATCACTCCAAAATCAAATTGTAGATAACCCTATATGCAAAACAGAAAAAGAGACTCAGATGTATAGAACAGACTTGTGGACTCTGGGGGAAGAAGGCGAGGGTGGGATGTTTCAAGAGAACAGCATCGAAACATGTATATTATCTAGGGTGAAACAGATCACCAGCCCAGGTTGGATGCATGAGACAAGTGCTCGGGCCTGGTGCACTGGGAAGACCCAGAGGGATCGGGTGGAGAGGGAAGTGGGAGGGGGGACCAGGATGGGGAACACATGTAAATCCATGGCTAATTCATTTCAATGTATGACAAAAACCACTGCAATGTTGTAAGGTAATTAGCCTCCAACTAATAAAAATAAATGGAAAAAAAAAAAACAAAACCAAATTGTAAGAGGAACTACCAGTTAAGGAAGCACTGATGGTAATTTTGGGGGTTATTAATTTAGCTTCCCTTGGACTATATGTCTTATATCAGTATCAAAAACAAAAAATGAAACAATTTTTATTCCTTTTAGGAAAGCTCTTTGTGCTATAATTTAATTGACTCTCTGAAAATTGTTTTTAGGAAATCTCCTATACTTTTGGGAAGAAAGAGGTCTCCTTAAAATATTGTGTTATCTAATTAGGTTAAAAGGAAATGTTGACTTCCTTGGAGCACCTCCCACGTCTTGGGAGGGAGATAGGTGTGCGATGAAGGGTTTTTCTTCACCCATGCTCTGGGGTTTTGAACAAAGGGAGAAGGATAGTCTGGGAATATATGTACATGATGCAAGAATAATCAGTAGAATATAATGTGTCATTATAATGTGTCATTTATCAGTCTGTACAACAGAATTCTTTCACTGGAATTTTTTGCTTTAGTTATCTGTACCAACTGGCTATATTGATGAGTTGTATAATCAAACTGCCAAGAAAATTACACTTCGTTTTTCATGCTCTTCCAGTCAAATACAGTAATTTGTGTGGCATATCTGCAGATACCATGCAGTTTTTCTTCTTGGGCATATAGCAATATATTCCTTATACCAAATTGCTTACGCATTAGAAGGAAGTTCTGTAGAAAAACTGAGTTCCTATCTGACTGTTTGAGTTGCACCAACTGCCCCCCACCAAGGCTGTAATGTTTTTTTAGTTACATTGAAAGAAATGCATGGAAGGCAGGTGGACAGTGGTTCCTGTATAACAGACTATAGAAAGGCTGAGCTAGTGGCTGAAAACCTTACTTGTTCCCCTAAGTTTTAAGAAAGGATTTTGTCATGGCCAGGCAGTTCCTACTGGCCACTTCTATCTCATAGCAGGGACCATTTCAGGTCAAAGAGATATTTCATCAAATATATGTTTTAGAGGTTTAGCAGACTCTCTTGAATATATTTTGCCTAAGTAGTAGATTTTTTTCCAGGAGAAAATTTCATTCATCGAACAGGTATTTACTTACCTTTGGGCTGTATGCATGGTACTTAAGTTCTAAGTCTTTGTGACCCTGTGGACTGTAACCCACCAGGCTCTTCTGTCCATTGGATTCTCCAGGCAAGAATGCTGGAGTGGGTTGTCATGCCCTTCTCTAGGATCTTCCTGACCCAGGGATCTTCTGCATTGGCAGGCGGGTTCTTTACCACTAGCACCACCTGGGAAGCCCCTTATGCATGGTTTTTTGTTGTTGTTCAGCCGCTCAGTCATGTCTGCCTCTTTGCAACCCCATGGACTACAGCACACCAAGGTTCCCTGTCCTTCACCATCTCCTAGAGCTTGCCCAAACTCATGTCCATTGAGTTGGTGATGGCATCCAACCACTTGTCCTCTGTCGTTCCCTTCTCCTCCTGCCTTCAATCTTTCCCAGCATCAGAGTCTTTTCTAGTGAATCAGCCCTTTGCATCAGGTGGCCCCAAAGTATTGGAGTTTCAACTTCAGCATCAGTCCTTCAATGAATATTCAGGACTGATTTCCTTTAGGATTGACTGGTTTGATCTCCTTGCTGTCCAAGGGACTCTCGAGACTCTTCTCCAACATCACAGTTCAATAGCATCAATTCTTTGGTGCTCAGCTTTCTTTATGGTCCAACTCTCACATTCATACGTGACTACTGGAAAAACCATAGCTTTGACTAATCTGACCTTTGTCGGCAAAGTAGTGTCTCTGGTTTTTAATAGAGTGACCATTTTCTATATAAATGATACCCTAAATTATTTTTTGGTATTGGTAGGGGAGCTAGATATTTAGGTATATATTTTATGTGGGTTTGAATACAGTTAGATCTTCCATCCATTCCTGCAATGATGAAAATAAACTATCACTATAAAAGGCCTAGGAAACCAGGAAATAGAATTCAAACAATATTGAGCATCTACTATATGCCAGTGTGTGTTAATGATCTAACACATTCATAAATGATAGCCTGTGAATTGCTTAAGAAAGTATAACTGTATAAAAAAGGGACAGAAAATGTTTTGAACACTTAGTAATATCTTTATAAATTTTCCTGAAAGGTTCCAAATTTTATTTATTCCACAGTAGATCATAAAATATAAAGCTCAGTGACAATAAGCAAAATGTATATATATTTTAAAATTGGTATTGTGCAGTCTACAAAGCAGTGACCATGCCAATTTTAAAATGTAAAATATACATACATTTGGTGACTTATTTATCTTATAACTGGTTGTTTGTGCCTCTTAATCCCCTTCTATTTTACCCATCCATTATTCCCCAAGTCTGGCAGCCACTGGTTTTTCTGTATCTGTGAGCCTGTTTCTGTTCTATTCATTCATTTTTTGATTCCACATATAAGTGGTAACATATGGTATTTGTCTTTAGCTTGTTTCACTAGCACACTGCCCTCCAGGTCCATCCATGTTGTCACAAATGGCAAATTCCATTCTCCTTTTTTATGGCTGAGTAATATTCCACTGTGTGTGTGTGTGTGTGTGTGTGTGTGTGTGTGTGTGTACATGCATGTGCTTGCACGCATGTGTGTATGTACACACATGAAATATACAGCACAGAGAATACAATCAATAATATTATAATAACTTTGTTTGGTACAGAATCTATTAATGTTAAACTACCAAATCACTATGTTGTATACCAGAAACTCATGATATTGTCAACTGTATTTCAACAAATATACGCAAAGGAAAAAGGCATAGCTAATTATATACTGTTATTATATATAACAGCAGTGAGACAGTGAGGATATACATGAGTTCTACATGCATTTTTTAATCAGAGCAAGATAAATAAAAATACACAGCAGAAGTGAACTTTGTGTTTCTGAGTTTGAGAATGAGCATCAACAGTCTGTAAATTAACAACCAGAGGTATCTCTGTTGGTTATAGCCAGTTCTTCAGTTTTGACTGCAGAAAATGCTAATATGCATTTCTTATATCCAACAGTATACTGGAATTTTTTATTGATCTCAGTACTTTACAGTGATCAATTCTGATACCTAATATAGATGATCAATAAGATTAACTCTGGAAGCGATTTGCCAAATTATCTTGAATTATATATAACACCTTGGTATGAATTGTGCAGAGTCAAAATTTTTTAAAAAATTTAATAAACTAATTAAATACTGAGTTAAAAATACATTTCAGGCATTACTAAATGATGAACTCACTACTCTCTTTACCCCAGACTTAATTGAGGGTTTATGATGAAATTCACAATTTTAAAGGTTTTTGGGGGATGAAGTAGTTGTTGCTCTATGTAGATAAAATATATTGTTTAGTACATTAAAAGAAATATTAAGGTATATTAAAAGGTGTATTTGAGTTATTTGGGAAGTCAAAGGAAGATACATTGAGAAGCAACAATGGCTAGGAAAGTGTAACATCATTGAGAATTCCAGTTTTGATAATGCCATGTGCTGGTGATAGATAAATTCCACGTGGTAGATAAGTTTCTTTGGATAAAATGGGCACCAGGGAACCAGTAAAATAAATTGCGAAGCAATGAAGTTTCAGCTGAACAGGTCCATTTTCAATTGTATTTGTGGGACTTATGGCAATAAATTGGTAAATTCTGTGGATGCTGAAAACCAGTAAATCCCTACTTAAAAAACTTTAAAAAGGAAACTTTACGTATTATCTATTCAAATATTTTCTCTATAGTATGGGAGAGTACTCAAATCTATTCAGTTCTGCTTTGGGGGAAAAGACTACATTTTAATCTCTGATCAGTATACATATTCATTTCTGCTAATGATAAATTAATCGATAAAAAACGTATTATGTTTCATTGTGTGGCAGCCCTTTTGTGTGTTTATAAATTAGTTTTTTTTCCTCTAAATGCTAATAATTCATGCTATTTTTATGCATTCTCCCCCCAATGTCCTCCCTGAATATCTAAATGTGTGCTGTCCATTTATGGTAGCCCCTAGCTTCATGTGACTTTGCAGTTTAAATTCATTAACATTAAATAAAATCCAGAATTCAGCTCCTCCTTTATACTAGCCATATTTAACGGGCTTGATAGCCACATGCAGCTATTGGCTCCTAGCCACTAATCTCTGGAGAGTGGAGAGTATAGAATTTTTTCATCATTGTAGAAAGTTCTATTGGATGACACTGACCTAAAGAGTCAGGATGTGTTAAAGATTCTTTGGCATATTTTCTGTATCTTAGGATATGCTCATGTTATTTCACTTAAACTTTCCTCTTCTGTAATTTCTTTTTATCTTTCTGTTTTTTCAGTTTAAAAGGATGCTTAATCGAGAGCTCACCCATCTCTCTGAAATGAGTCGGTCTGGAAATCAAGTGTCAGAGTATATATCAAATACATTCTTAGGTGAGAATAACAATGTAAAATTTCTCTTTTTTATTGTTTGGTTGTCTTTAGAGGTGGATTGGGGTGCAAACTTGTTTTGGATCTCACTAAGAGTTAGGAATTCCATTTGTTTTCAGTCATCATATCAGTGATGTTTAAAGCTTAGGTTCTAAGCTTTAGAACCTAAGGTGACAAAGTACATTTTTTTTCTTTTAGTTTCATTCAAGAGTTTAGGGATTCCCTGATTTAAAGTTGTATATTTCCCATTTTCCAAAGTAATCAACTGTAAAATGTAGTTTTTAGAAAGATCTATTCATGCATTCAACAAATTCTTGTTAAATGCCAGCCATTGCTGGACAGTAGGTATTTAATAATCAGGTAAAAATAGTCCCTAAAGTCAGCGAGTTGATAGTCCAATGGGAATCATGCCTGGTAGGCTGGAGAGGCAGAGGGATGTAACACAGTTGCTGAGGAAAAGCTTGCTGAGAGTAGCTGAGACTGTGGTGCCCTGGGACACCACCACGCCATCCTCCATCCACAGAAAGAAAATGCATGAAGGACAAGTCAATAACTGGAAGATACCCTTGATCCTAATTTACTTGCAAAACAAAACTGCTGTAATAGCTAACGAGCACACTCACTAAACAGACATTTCTTGGACACACGCTCTGTGTAAGGAAAGGTTAAAGGAAGCATTGCCTTGAAATAGTGAACGAGTGTATTGGTGACACCTGATGTCCTAGTTGAAAACAACAGTTCGCTCTTGTGAATATGATATTTACTTATCAGATGATACTGGAGATTCTCTGTGCTCCCTGTATAACCTTGTTACAGTATATATCCCCCACATCACTACCCTACAGAAAATGTAAGGTAGCAGAAGCAGTCTGACTCCTTCAGATAGATGGTGTCTGCGCCCAGAGAATAACCCATTAGGTTCATACACTGCTGTTTGCAGTTTGTGCACGAAGCTTCTGCCATTTCGAAGTAGGTGGTTGAAACTGGAGTTCTTACTTGGCAAAAGCAGCTTTCCTACCAGTAAGTGAATTTTAGACAGGAATGGAATTGATGAGCAGTGGAAATAACCAATATTTTGCCTTTTCCAACTCGGTGATTGTAAGTTTGTTTTTTTTTTTTTTAAAGTATTAGGACCTTCAAAGATGAGATCACTGAATATATTTGATGTTAATTATTATGCAGTGGAATTTATTTGCTTAATTTTGTGTTTCAGAGTATCAAATTAAGTCCACATAAAACTGTAAATATTCGACTTCCTTAAGAGGAGTTTTACTTGGAAATATTTCCTAGAATGTATAATGATCAATTAAAATCTGCCTAGTTATGCATGTTATGAAAAAAAAAACTAGTCAGAATTAATAGTAAGTGTAGAATATTTTTAAAATTTTTAAGATAAGCAACATGAAGTGGAAATTCCTTCTCCGACTCAGAAGGAAAAGGAGAAAAAGAAAAGGCCAATGTCTCAGATCAGTGGGGTCAAGAAGTTGATGCACAGCTCCAGTTTGACCAATTCAAGCATCCCAAGGTTTGGGGTCAAAACTGAACAAGAAGACGTCCTTGCCAAGGTAAGATGATTTCAAGTACCATGATCAGAAATATGCAGTGAACTTTGATTCCTTCTGTTTTAAATAAATTAAAAAACTTATTATTAATAATTCATGGGGGTTTTTCTGGTAGATGGGAAAGCACTTTATAAAGCTCTTGCTAAATCGCTTGAATAGCATTGAAACATATACAATACCAAATGTAAAATTAGATAGCCAGTGGGCCTTTGCTGGATGGCAGGAGGAGCTCAAATTCAGTGCTCTCTTGACAACCTAAGGTGGGATGGGGTGGAGCTGGGAGGGAGGGTCAGGAGGGAGGGGACATATGTATACTTATGGCCGATTCATGCTCACGTACGGCAGAAACCAACACAATATTGTAAAGTAAGTATCCTCCAATTAAAAATAAATAAGTTTTAAGAAAGAATAAGGTAGATGAACATGAGCTTTTAGAGAAGGATCTCCAAAATAAACCATCAAGAGAAAAAATAAATCACTTGTGTTTAGTTAATATATAGAGACAGGAGGTTATGGTCTTTATTTTTGCATCTACATTTGATTGTTTGAATAGTTAAAGTTAAGGTTTTTGAGACTATGTTTTAACTAGTTAAACTTAAGGTTAACTAGTTTAACTAGTTGCCTTTAGTTAACTAGCTAAGGTTTTGAGAATACGTTGTAACTCCTGGAGGAATACTTTGAGATCAGTATTTCAAGTGTGTAACCATGTTGTTTTCTCAGAGACATGAGACCATTCAGTCTCTAGCTTGTGTTTTAAGCAGATTCACCTGAAGTCTGCTGCTTCTTACATGGTGCATCCATTACATTCGAAATGAATTTTTTTTAAAAAGTCTAACAATCTCTTCATTAAAGTCAGTAATTTTTAAATGACTCTGTTCATTGTTTCATGTTCTACTTCTGCATCCAAACTTGTTCTTATCTTTCCTTAACCCCAGGAACTAGAAGATGTGAACAAATGGGGTCTTCATGTTTTCAGAATAGCAGAGTTGTCTGGGAACCGACCTTTGACTGTTATCATGCACACCATTTTTCAGGTAACGTGGTTAAGTTCTATCACCTCTTTTATTTGGTGACATGATGTCCAGTCTGTGAATTGTGCATGGATTTATCTTCTTCACTGCTTACCCTCTTTTACTTATTTTGATACTTTTTTATTTGCCAAAATATATATAAGGGATATATATTTGCCCCTTATATACCAAGGAGCAAATAAGGATACAAGAAGATTGGAGTGTGGGTTAAACACAAATAAATCAATTATATTATTTTTCCCATTGAAGAAAAAGATAAGATGTGGGCAAATTGAAGCAATTCATTAAACTAATAGTTTTAAAATCATCCACGTGACCCCCCCCTTCCACAGAGAATGGAGTGGAGTGTTAACTTTACAAATTGAATAAGCCCCTTGCTGACTAACCTTAGTATTTAATTTCTTCCATCACTGTCTTGTGGACTGCTCTCTTCTTCAGATCAGTTTCTCATTCCTGTCAAGTTTTTGCCCCAGTTCAGGGTTAGGATTTATATGAGAATTTGGGCTGGAGGTCTCCAGCCCTCAAGAGAATGCTGTGTCTCACTTGCTTTGATCCAGTGGCCGAGTCAGTGGTCGTGGACGGAGGCTACCTTCAGGATCCCAGGACACAGACATTTGATAGTGGGCAGCTCATTCCTGACACCATATATTTTGGGCAAAGCTTTGCTGGGCTCCAGAAGGACAGCTGTACTCTGGTTTTGTCCCTGAAGTTCCTGGATCACCCCAAGGGTTTTCATTGTCCTCACTAGACATTGAGAGAGTGCTTCTCTCATTCTGGGTTATCCATAGGTGACACGGGGTGATTTCTGTTGCCGCTGTTAACACACTGTATGGAAAATCTTTTCTATAAAATACAAAATGCTAAGACGATTTCTTTTCTTACAGGAACGGGATTTATTAAAAACATTTAAAATTCCAGTAGACACTTTAATTACATACCTAATGACCCTAGAAGATCATTACCATGCTGATGTGGCCTACCACAATAATATTCACGCTGCAGATGTTGTCCAGTCAACGCATGTGCTGTTGTCCACACCTGCTTTAGAGGTACACTTCGTTTCTAAACCTTCAAGGACATTAACTTGCCACTCAAAATGGTTCTTCAACTTTCATACTAAAGGGCATGCAGGGCAAACAATAATTGGCTTCCTGGAAATATTATTAAGTTGGGAGGGGGATGTCATTGTGGTAATTAAACAGCTGAGTCTTTGATGAATTTTGTCTTTGATAATAATCAAAGACTTAGGGATTCATCTGTTTATGATATTGTCTCTTTGAAATGATCTAGTGAACATTCCATAAAGCACACCTGGATTACTCAGTTTTGATTAGTTTGGGGCTTCCTGGGAATTTAGTCTGATGACTTTTTTGTTTTTAGTCCAAAGATGATTATTTTTATAAAATAGAAGCTATGCATTGATACTTTTCATAGAACTTATTAGAAAGAAACATATCTTTAATGTCACTAAATCCTATGAAGTTGTTCCATTAAATGTTTATTAAAACAATTTGATTTCCTTAATCGTTTGGGAGAGTGACTATCTTTTGCTAATGTACTTTATAGTTCAGATTGTTTCATTATAAACTGGGTTAATACCTTATTGTTTGAGTGAGAGGCTCTCAACCGGGGGTGATTTTCCCATTACTCCTACTCCTCCCCCTCCCAGGGACATCCGGCAATACTGGAGAAATTTTTAGCTGTCACAGTTTGGGGGTACATTCTACTGGCATCTCATCGGTAGAGGCCAGGGGCCCTGCTAAACATCTCGTAACACACAGGATAGCCTCCCAGAGCAAAGACTTATCTGCACAGCAAAGACTTATCTGACCGCAGATGTTGGTGTCTCTGAGATTGAGAGTCCCTGTTTTGAATGGAAGAAAATAATTGCTCATGTCATTAATTTTATGTACATTTTCAGAATATCCTTGAACATCTTAAATACTTTTAAAATAAGTTATTATTTTCTATAAAACATTGGCAGATATCCTTTTTAAATATTTTTTAAATATAACCATGGAAAAGGTGTGATCTTGAATTATAATAAAATCAGATAAAATATTTCCTCCAAGATTACATTTAAAAAACCCATGAGGAACTCATTCTCTGAAAGTCTCCCATCCTGAAACATGATAATAATATATTTTGAAGCTTCATTTTGTTTTCCATCAGAGTCTGGGAAGGAATTTCCCATTCCTGTGTACCTTCCATTTACATTACTATAGAATAGTAATGTTATCTAACATTGTTTGGATTCTTTCAGGCTGTGTTTACAGATTTGGAGATTCTTGCAGCAATTTTTGCCAGTGCAATCCATGATGTTGATCATCCTGGTGTGTCCAATCAGTTTCTGATCAATACAAGTGAGTGAAGTAAAATGTCTTCATTTTTGCAAAATAAAATTTTCCTTTTGACATTTTAGAGTGACTGAGGGTTTTTATAAGTTTGGGGTGTTTCCAGAGTCATGTTCTTTTGAGATGTGTATATATCCATTTCAGTGACTGCACATTAATGTTATATAGCTCTAAAAATTATTGTTCTATCCCATGAGGCATATGATGTTTGAAAAACATGCATTCCAGTACTTCTTTTGAAATACTATATTACCACCATATTACTATTACTATATTGCTATTACTCTATTACTATCATTACTACTATATTAATAGACAGAGCAATCCAAAGTGAAAGCTTGCAGAAAGATTTAGGTATGTTGTTCCTAAAGTTTTTTTTTTGTGTGTGGCGGGGGTCTTTGTTGCAGCTCACAAGCTTTCTCCAGTTGTGGCATGTGGTCTCTCTAGTTGTGATATGCAAGTTTAGTTGCCCTGTGGCATGTGTGATCTTAGTTCGCTGACCAGGGATTGAACCCATGTCCCTTGCATTGGTAGGTGGATTTTTAACCACTGGACCACCAGGGAAATGCTACCCTCAGAGTTTTAAATAAAAGAAGTTATCAGAATAAATGTTAAATTCCTCATTTTATGTAGGTTGTCATATAATCCTCTTCAGAGGCTGTAACTCCTCTCTCCCTCCACCATGTTCTTTCCTCTTCTTCCCTTTTTAAATCTCATGCTGAGGGCAGTGTGAGGTTCTGTTTTGACATACTGTTTCTTTTCTTTTAATATTTTTTTAACCATTAATTTTCTTCTCACTGGTGACGTTTTGTAAACTAAGTCATCAATGGATTTGGAAAGAAGTCACAGAAGTGACTGTTTGGCGTGGGACACCTCTAACACAGTTGCACTGCAAGCCTCTGTAGGGAGTATTAGTGGCGTTTGAGGCTTTTGGCAGAGAGATTGTTTTACAGAAATTCTGTTCTTTCTGTGCTCTTAGTCACTCAGTCGTGTCTGACTCTTTCTGACCCCAAGGACTGAGACCCGCCAGGCTCCTCTATCCATGGGGATTCTCCAGCCTAACCCAGGAATCGAACCAGGGTCTCCTGCACTGCAGGTGGTTTCTTTACCAGCTGAGCTACCAGGGAACCCCATTCTTTCTGTACTTGAAGTTAATTGGTAAATAATTTAAATGTACCATTATATAATTCCCTCCCAGCATGGTAGATTAATGTTATAAAAGTCACTTTTGTATGTGAAAAAAATAAAAAAGCTCTTATTTTTTCCTGTCTGTTAAGAATCTGTCTTTGCTTTTTACTGTGAGTTGTGGATAACAGCCTTCTCCTGCCCCATAGCAGTCTAGCTCCTGTAGCGTCTGTTCTTCCACCATTCATTCCCAACACTTTGCTGCAGATTTAAAGGGGAAGCTTAAATATAGCCTCACTTTGAGAGATTCAGATCTTTTGAAGTATTTATATATTTGTATATTTTTAATAGCCTCTGGACTCTCCTATAACAAAATGCACTTTGGTGACTCACTCATGTGTAGGAGAATTGGGAAAGTCATAGGTTTTCAAAAATGGGTGGATAGTCAGTGCATTTCATGTCTTAGCTACCTTTTGAGAACCTATAATAGGGTGCTTTCAGGGGTCAACAAAACATTACTATATATCAACACATGAGTTTACATTGTCTCCTAGGTTAGGGTTGATTGTGTCCTTTCTGTTAGAACAGGGAAGATCATATAGTAAAATGTACACTGGCAATTTTTTATTGTCCTGGATTGACTCATTATTTTGCTTCTTAGGTATATCTTGATATTTTTAACAAATACATACAAATTTTGTCTTAACTCTTGCCATTAAGAAAGGTAGGCTTTTTTCTTTAAATAATAACACCAATATTCAGACTTAAGTGTTTTATTTGCATCCTATTATACTTAATATAATATCTTCCCATATTATAATATTCCGTTCAGTTCAGTCGCTCAGTCATGTCCGACTCTTTGTGACCCCATGAATCGCAGCACACCAGGCCTCCCCGTCCATCCCCTGGAGTCTGCCCAAACCCATGTCCATCGAGTTGGTAATGCCATCCAGCCATCTCATCCTCTATCGTCCCCTTCTCCTCCTGCCCCCAGTCCTTCCCAGCATTAGGGTCTTTTCCAATGAGTTAACTCTTCGCATGAGGTGGCCAAAGTATTGGAGATTCAGCTTCAGTGTCAGTCCCTCCAGTGAACACCCAGGACTGGATCTCCTTTAGGATGGACTGGTTGGATCTCCTTGCAGTCCAAGGGACTCTCAAGAGTCTTCTCCAACACCACAGTTTAAAAGCATCAGTTCTTCGGTGCTCAACTTTCTTCACCGTTCAACTCTCACATCCATACATGACTACTGGAAAAACCATAGCCTTGACTAGATTGACCTTTGTTGGCAAAGTAATGTCTCTGCTTTTAAATATGCTATCTAGGTTGGTCATAACTTTCCTTCCAAGGAGTAAGCGTCTTTTAATTTCATGGCTGCAGTCACCATCTGCAGTGATTTTGGAGCCCAAAATAATAAAGTCTGACACTGTTTCCACTGTTTCCCCATCTATTTCCCATGAAGTGATGGGCCCATATGCCATAATCTTAGTTTTCTGAATGTTGAGCTTGAAGCCAACTTTTTCACTCTCCTCTTTCACTTTCATCAAGAGGCTTTTTAGTTCCTCTTCACTTTCTGCCATAAGGGTGGTGTCATCTGCATATCTGACGTTATTGATATTTCTCCCAGCAACCTTGATTCCAGCTTGTGCTTCTTCCAGCCCAGCGTTTCTCATGATGTACTCTGCATATAAGTTAAATAAGCAGGGTGACAATATACAGCCTTGACGTACTCCTTTTCCTATTTGGAACCAGTCTGTTGTTCCATGTCCACTTCTTACTGTTGCTTCCTGACCTGCATACAGGTTTCTCAAGAGGCAGGTCAGGTGGTCTAGTATTCCCATCTCTTTCAGAATTTTCCACAGTTTATTGTGATCCACACAAAGGCTTTGGCATAGTCAATAAAGCAGAAATAGATGTTTTTCTGGAACTCTCTTGCTTTTTCGATGATCCAGCAGATGTTGGCAATTTGATCTCTGGTTCCTCTGCCTTTTCTAAAACCAGCTTGAACATATGGAAGTTCACAGTTCACGTATTATAGAATTAAGTATTGAGAACAAATTAAAACAACTGATAATAAAGTCACTGTCTTCCAAGTATTCTATTAAATTTTTCAGGAAAAATGAGGACCAACTCTATTATTCTTTATTATGGACCCTCTAAGGGCAGATGGGCCTAGGCTGGCAGCAGGGTACCTGTGGAGTCTGCAGTTTAAGCTAGCAAAGCCTCAGTCCACAGATGAATCTCATGCCCTTTAAAGTTTGAGACAACTGAGAATAAATAATGGAGACATGTAGGGGGTAATTATACACACAGCACAGTGGCCAGGAGTGTCTGTTTAAGGTTGTCTTACTGATGAGCTGCCTGAGGTAGAATGATTATAGACTGCGCTTCTGGGGGCACTTTGTCAGTCAGTGATGCTGTGCACATCTCCTTTCTGTGGGGTCTCAGCCGCACGGGGCAGTCAGCAGTTCCCAGGCCAGCTTTGGATTGCTGATACTTTCTTGAGGGTCGGGTGAGATAGGGCTGTGTTATGCCTGAGAGATGACTCAGCGTCATCACCTGGTAGATGAAAGCTATCCCAGGGTTGATCAGAGCCCCATGGCGTTATGAGAATTATTGCCTTAGTTAGCTTTTAAGTGGGCTTCCCCCGTGGCTCAGACGTCGAAGAATCTGCCCGCAATACAGGAGACCCAGGTTCTTTCGATCCCTGGGTCGGGAAGATCAAGCCAGAAAGCATTTTATTTCAGAACTCAGAAGAGGCTTAGTAACCTCTAACACAAGTTAAGTTTTAGCTTTCACAACATGCTTTAGAGGAGTCTCACTAATAACTGCAAACTTGTAATAAACAGTTGTATGAAATACTCTATCAGAATTATGTGACAATTTTTAGTTTACAGTAAACTCTTTTTATAGATCTTAAATTTGTGTTTTCTCTTTCTTTTGTGGATGGATTGAGTGGCTCAAACTAGCACACTCTGAGCTCCTAGCCTGGAGCTGGGGCTGCCATCTGCCCAAAGCTAAAGGTTGAACTGTTGTTTCTTATAATAAAGACTTCCAATCATCAGATCAGACCTCCCATAGATGGGAGGTCACCTGTCCAATTTTAAGGAGATGCATGACTCGCCATGGTGCAAGGGCACTTGGACTCACCTGGCTGACTCCCAGGCCAGATACCCCTCTGCTGCTCAGTTGTGATAGTTTTCATTAACCATTCCAGTTGTGTTAGTTTTAGGTGCCAAGTGATTTGATATTAATGATACATACACTCCGTGTAAACATGCTGAAGGTTGTGAAAACAGAGCAATCATTTCTACCTGGCAGAGGTGTTAAGCTTTTATAAATAATTTAGGGGAGAGGGGGATTCTGAATAGGATGTAAGGAAGTTGAAATTCCAGGTGAGAAGCTGCATAAATCTTTTTTAAGGACAATACTATGTAAATAAATCCATAAAATGTAAATAGCATCATAATGTGTTGAATAGAGCACATTAGAGGATATTTATCTTTAAAAAGATACATATTTTTTAAAGCATTATTTTCGGAAACAATAAAGCAGTGTCAGAATATATATAGCATTAAATTTTACTTGGAAAACAAGTAAAATTTCTGTTTCTAGCAAAGATGCCTAGGTGGGGGGAGAAAGGTCTCCTCACACATTTGAACACATTAGTCATCTACTCAAAGCATATGACTTTTGAGGTTCAAGAGCAGAGGCATTTAACTGTATGAAGGTAGAGCTGGACCTGGTGATAGTACACACTCTTTATTTCACTGATCTCACTGATAATATAAGCTTTCCATCACTACATTTGTAGCTTACATATAGAATATTATTTTTCTGTATAAATGTAAAATCAGAGGATCTCAGTCAAAGTGTGTCTTGAGTCTCACTTCTCCTTCCTGGCTTCTTTAAAATAGTCATTGAGCAGTATTGAGTATTTCTTTCTTAGAAAATAATATACATTTTCCACATAAGTCAGAAGAAAGATCTAATACATGTTTTTGTTTTTACAGTGACTTAAGTGGAAATAAGATAAAGCACCATTTTTTTTTTAATGACTACCTTAATAGATCTGAGTCTGCTATTTACAGGAACTAGGAAAGAGGTAGGATTTCTCATTGCCTAAAAAACAGAGGTCCAGGACAGTCGTGGGGTAGCAGCCAAATCTTCACCTTGGAGTTACGTAGACAGCTTAAAACCCAGCTCTGCGTGAAACTCTCAGTGTGCAGCTGGGATGTGCAACATACATGTTTATAGTGACTGCTAAGACACTTGGACAAGGAAATGGAAGAATGAACAAAGCTATCCTGTGAACAAAACAAGTACAAGCGTGAACAGACCCTGATGTTGTTCGTATGTTCCAAGCTGGTCTTGTACCCTCCTGGAGTACAAATTACCCTAAGGCACATGATCTTTACATTACATAAAAGATGGGGTAGATGGTCCACCTTTATCAGGAGTACAACATCTTCTGTTCTGGAGGTGTATGTTAGGAATGATGTTTTGTTTTCTACTGCTGAGCTTATGGAGCTGCCTCTAGCAGATCTGGAGAGGAGGTTCAGGATAATCTCACCTAACTCTTCTTTCCCTTTAGAACAGTAGAAGCTGAAGCCTCAGCGGTAACTGACTTATCATGTGCCAAGAGCGTTGAGTCCACTCTCAAGATTCTAGGGCTCTTCCGTGGTTACACTAACTCATAGAGTCTCTTCTAGGTATTGTCATGTCATGGGAATGCAAGCAGAAACATTTAGGAGAAGTTGCTTCCTAAAACCCAAGATATCTCAGAATATGAAAAATAAGATAAACGTAGCATAAATGGCTCTGCTGACCTTCTACCTCGTCTTTCTTTCAAGACTCTGAACTTGCCTTGATGTACAACGATTCCTCTGTCCTGGAGAACCATCATTTGGCTGTGGGCTTTAAGTTGCTTCAGGAAGAAAACTGTGACATTTTCCAGAATTTGACCAAAAAGCAAAGACAGTCATTAAGGAAGATGGTCATTGACATTGTGAGTAACTGATAAAAAGCAAAAAAGAGAACTGTGATCTATGATTTTTTTCCCTTTATTTTTATTAGTTGGAGGCTAATTACTTTACAATATTGTAGTGGTTTTTGTCATACATTGACATGAATCAGCCATGGATTTACATGTGTTCCCCATCCCGATCCCCCCTCCCACCTCCCTCTCCACCCCATCCCTCTGGGTCTTCCCAGTGCACCAGGCCTGAGCACTTGTCTCATGCATCCAACCTGGGATGGTGATCTGTTTCACCCTAGATAATATACATGTTTCGATGCTGTTCTCTCGAAACATCCCACCCTTGCCTTCTCCCACAGAGTCCAAAAGTCTGTTCTGTACATCTGTGTCTCTTTTTCTGTTTTGCATATAGGGTTATCATTACAATCTTTCTAAATTCCATATATATGTGTTAGTATACTGTAATGGTCTTTATCTTTCTGGCTTACTTTGCTCTGTATAATGGGCTCCAGTTTCATCCATCTCATTAGAACTGAAGAAAGAGATGATGATCAAATAAAAGTTTCTTGTACATTTCAAGATATTGCTGGCTTTTCTGTGCCAGAGGCTGGCCTTGCTGCTGGCAATGATGCTGTGCTGCTGACAGTCTGGAGTGAAGAATAATGAAAAAACCTCTCTCAGCAGAAGTGCCGTGCAGAAACATCTGTGACATTCGTCTTTTCTGTATGCGTTTGTCCTGAGACTCAGGGAAGTCTCTGGTTATCAGAAACTTAATCTGTTCAGCTTTGTACATACAAAGAAATGGAGACATTTTATGACTTAGATAAGCAGAAAATTAACCAGAATATTGTTCCTAAAGTATTCTGTGAGCAACCTGTGAATCACTCCATTGTAGTCCAGTAACCACTTTCTAGTCCAAGGAATAAAAAAACTTCACAATGTGATGGTGTCTTATCCAGAGAAATAGCCCTTTTTATCAGCATGAAAATGACTGCTAGTGATTAATGTTTCTGTATATTGTACACATTTATCTGAGCTTCCAGGAAACTTGACAGCAAAGAGGAGTAGATTCTGGCCCAAGAAGTAGTAAAGGATTCCTGCACAGGGCTATTAGGTGACAGAATTGTTCTCCATTTCTTCTCATGTTCTCCATGATATTTTCATGTGCAACTTATGACTTTTTTCCTCTGGGAATTTTTTACTTATTAAAACACTCTTTGTCTTTTAAGGTACTTGCCACAGACATGTCAAAGCACATGAATCTACTGGCCGATTTGAAAACTATGGTTGAAACTAAGAAAGTGACAAGTTCTGGAGTTCTTCTTCTTGATAATTATTCTGATAGGATCCAGGTAAAGCATTTGACTTTGTTCTGTGTCTACGGGTGTGTGTACACATTCGTGTCTGTGTGTCTAGCTTAGATAAGATTTATGTCTCCTTTCTCCCAGCTTATAGTTTTGGTAATTATAAGCAGGGTTTTTATCCAGATTCTTCATCTTGAGAGTTAACCAGACAAAATCCTATTGGCCTTTGTAAGTGGAAGTGCATTAAAAAAAATAATATCCCACAAAACCAAGCACTTAAGCAGATCTGAATTTAACGAACTGAGCACGTAAACAGTTTCTCTCATGATACTTGGATGCGATAGAAGTGGCATACTTTGGGACTATTAATACAAGTGTGAACCACACACAGACACATCATGGTCGAGCTGTCTGGAACGACTCTTACACAACATGTATTTTTAAGTGTCACAGTCACCTGATGTGAATTTCTAGTTAAAAAAAAGGAGCGGGTGCTAAACAGAGCATGCACTGGTTTGTTCTAGGTCCTTCAGAACATGGTGCACTGTGCTGACCTGAGCAACCCGACCAAGCCTCTCCAGCTGTACCGCCAGTGGACGGACCGCATCATGGAGGAGTTCTTCCGCCAAGGGGACCGAGAGAGGGAGCGGGGCATGGAGATAAGCCCCATGTGTGACAAGCACAACGCATCTGTGGAAAAATCACAGGTGATGCTTTACGCTTTCAGAGAGAGAACACGGCTACATAGAACATTTGGTTACTTCGTTTGCATCTCGTTCAGTCTTTTATTGGCTGATCTTAATTACTTTCCTTTTGACAAGCTCAATTCCCACTTCGTGTTTGCAAGCCTCAAAATTCTTTGATTCTTAGGATGTATGTCCGTATGGTCATATATCTATTCATAGGACAGTATATTTATTCATCGTCACTTGATTCATATAGTATATTCATATGTGTAGAATTATTTCAGCTATCTCTTTTCATTAGTGAATAAAGTTCTTTGAATCCACATGGAGTACAGGCATTATTTCAGTTTATCTGGATCCACCTGTAAATGGGCTGTTCTAAAATCAGGTCCAAGCCTCAAGCCAAGCAAGGTAAACAAGCAGAGATTTTTTACATCACAAACCTGCTCTTGGACTCAGAATTCTAAAAGCTATTAAATAGTTTTCTGCAGCTCGTAACAACATTTTCATACAGTCTGCTACCTAAAATAGTGACTATTTTACCAGACTAAGGTTAATAGTCTTTGGTTTAGTGTTATATTTGCAAAGCATATTACATTTATATATTTTATGTAAATTCCATATATCCTGTATGAAAATCTGATTCAGTATATAAATTGAATACATTTGGGTCTCTTTAACCTTTTCCATTGTTTATTAATCCTGTACTCACATTGGATATATTTTTTAACCAGGTGGGCTTCATAGACTATATCGTTCATCCTCTCTGGGAGACGTGGGCAGACCTGGTCCATCCTGACGCCCAGGACATTTTGGACACTTTGGAGGACAATCGTGAGTGGTACCAGAGCACAATTCCTCAGAGCCCTTCCCCGGCACCTGATGACCAGGAGGAGGGTAGGCAGGGTCAGACGGAGAAGTTCCAGTTTGAACTGACTTTAGAGGAAGATGGCGAGTCAGACACGGAGAAGGACAGCGGGAGTCAAGTCGAAGAAGACACTAGCTGCAGCGACTCCAAGACGCTGTGCACTCAAGACTCGGAGTCCACCGAAATCCCCCTGGATGAGCAGGTCGAAGAGGAGGCGGTGGCGGAGGAGGAGGAGAGCCAGCCTGAGGCCTGTTTCATCGGGGACCCCTCCCCGGACACGTAACAGGGCCCAGACTTCCATGCCTTTCGTTTGTGTTTTTTGTTTTTTGTTTTTTAAGTAGAAACGTTGTTTCCAAAGTGCATGTCACATGCCACAACCACGGTCACACCTCACTGTCATCTGCCAGGATGTTTGTGGAACAAAACTGACCTTGACGACTCAGTCTGGCGCTCAGGAATATCGTCACCAGTTTTTTCACCTCCATGTCATCAGAACGAGAGGGACATCTTCATGGACAGCATTGTCACAGGACTGCGGCTCCGTCGAGCTGAAGAAGCCGAGAAAATCAACTCTAAAGTGTTTTCTACGGAGTGTGGCTCATTGGGCAGCCCCAAAGTTAAGATGATTTGGGTTTTTTTTTTTGTTTGCAATATTTTCAGCAGAAAGAAGGCATTATTACATGGATGCAGTGAACAGATGGGTGAAGCAACGAATGGGTCAGGAACAGGACACAGTGTGAAGCTGTTACCAGGATAAAGATGAGCCACAGAAATTGCATAATTTTCTAATTTCAAGTCTTCCTGATACCTGACTGAATAGTGTGGTTCGGTGAGCTGCACTGACCTCTACATTTTGTATGATATGTAAAACAGATTTTTTGTAGAGCTTACTTTTATTATTAAATGTATTGAGGTATTATATTTAAAAAACTATGTTCAGAACTTCATCTGCCACTGGTTATTTTTTTCTAAGGAGTAACTTGCAAGTTTTCAGTACAAATCTGTGCTACACTGGATAAACCTAATTTACAAATTTTACTTGCACCTTAGACTTCATAGCAATTAACTGATTTGTAGTGACCCATTGTTTTATATACCAATGACTTCCATATTTTAAAAACAAAAATTGACTTTACGTTGCAGGAAACCCTTTTTGTAGGTCTTCATTTACTGGCTTTTCATTTTGGTCTATTCAGACACGCAGAGTTGCTCCCCACTGACATTTCTCTTCACCGTGTGCAAAGTGAACACGTGTTCCATAATATTCTGATGTGTGTTCTGTCTAATGTATCTCAAGCCTCATGGACACTTAGTCATCAGTTGGTATTATCTGAAGCAAGTGAGAGATATATAAATACCCAGTAGCTAAAATGGTCAGTCTTTTTTAGATATTTTCCTACTTCGTGTCTTCTGATAACCTTTTGCTGTGGTGGTAGACCCTCATTTCACAAATGCATGTCTTTGTAATAACCCACACATTTCATGCTCATTTTTATTGTTTTCACAGTCAGTTACAGTAAGAAAACCTTTTTCCCCTTGTGCTGCTTCATTATTCAGCGTGTGTTTGAACCTCTGTCCACATTTACTACGTGGGGTCTTATCAGATATATCACCACCATTCTGATGGATGCAAAGAACAGGTAGTCAAGTTAGAGTTAGCATTCTTTTCTGCCATGAGGTCAATATAATGACTAGCTTTTACTTTTGATTTACAAAGAAAAGTTAATGGCTAGCTAGGTAATTTTTAACAATATTAGTAGAATATATTAATGAACACCAGTACAATGAATGCTCTTTTGTTTCTATGATTTCACCATGGGATTAAGAACTGTATGAGGAATATTCCTGAGAAGTGATTTTAAGTGTAGCAATGACTCTTCCTTAAAGGACAGCCACATAACACATAGTAGCATTTCTTGCTTTGTCAGTTGTCATTGATCCAGAAGTACGTCTAGTGGAGGAGAACTTTAATATGCTGATAGAAAGAAGTTGGTGGTGCCCCTAGCACCAGAGGTTTGGTGATATGATGCCGTTTTAAATTACTCAGTTGGGTAAGAAGATATTGACTAAATCAAACATTAGAGATCACTTTTGGCTGAATTTAGCATCAAGAATTGTATTGCAATTTTAGAAATTGATTCTCAGCATTTACCTTTAATTGGCATCGTGGGGCATTTATTTAGTCTGGACTTTCTTCCCATTTCAGCTCTTAAAAAATGGTTACCTACTCTGTGAAGAGTTTGGAGCCCAAATAATCATTTTTCACAATGATATCCAAGAAGTCAAGTAGAGGCTAAAGGAATATCTGACCAAACAGAACATAGAACAGTAAATGAAATTGTAATCCTGAAAAATGTTTATACTGGGGATGTCTCAAGGAGCTTTCTGGGGACTAATCACTAAATCATCAGCCAGGGAAATGACCCAACTGAAGATACTCACTATTTTAGTCCCCTGAGAGCCAGTGATGCTTAGAAACATTGATAGAAAAATTAGGTAGCTGTGAATTTCAACATAGAGCACAGGATAGGAATTGACCAATTAATTATCAGATTTCTACCTCCCTTCCCCTGTAAAATTCAGACAGTAATCTTTCAAATAAAGTCTTATGTTTGGCAAGTGGTTTCACAAGAACAGTTGGAAACTTATTTCCATTTTAATTTTGTCCCTGATGGAGGTCTAGAAGAAAAGGCAAAGAATCTAAGGTTTATCCCTTTCTCCCAAATACTCTCAATCCCTCCCTTCCCTCATGCTTGGTATTTCTCCCACAGAGTGCCTAGAACTTAAGAATGAAAAAAAAATTAAAACAGCAATATGTCACATATTCATACCTGAAAAGGTATATAACAGCACTAAAAAAGGGAGACTTTTTATTTCATCAGTTTGTTGGTTTTAATGGTCACATGTGTTAAGATACCCACTGATGGACAATCAAATTGTAGGAAAAAGGTGATATCTAAAAGACAGGGACTAGTGCTGTACAATCTGCTTCTCCTCTCCCTTCTCTCTTTCTCCTCTGCTCTCGCCAAAGTGTGCTTCAGAATTATACACTGCTTTAAAAAGAATACCCTTTTATAAGTGGCTTTACATTTCCTAAAATATTGTAAGAAAATACAGTATCTGGGTACTGTATGGGGAAGAAAATGTCCAAGTTTGCATAAAACCAGTATATTTCAGCTTGCAAGTTACTAAACACAATAATGCTGTTTTAATTTTCTTTTCTTTTACATCACTTAAAATTCACAAGAAAATAATGTAGATAGAACAAATTGTAGACAAGGAAAAAAAAACTTGAATGAAGTGGATTTTACCGAAAGCTTTATGATACTTTTTGAATGCATTATTTATTTTTTTGTGCCATGCATTTTTTTCTCACCAAATGACCTTACCTGTAATACAGTCTTGTTTGTCTGTTTACAACCATGTATTTATTGTAATGTACATACTGTAATGTTAATTGTAAATTATCAGTTCTTATTAAAACATCATCCCGAATTGGGATGGTGTTGATATATTTGGAAACTCTTGGTGAGAGAATGAATGGTGTGTATACATACTCCTTGTACATTTTCTTTTCTTCTATAAAATAGTCTTGTCACCTTAGAGCTTGTTTATGGAAGATTCAAGAAAACTATAAAATACATAAAGGTATATAAAATATAAAAAACATAGCTGCAGGTCTTTGGTCCCAGGGCTGTGCCTTAACTTTAACCAATATTTTCTTCTGTTTTGCTGCATTTGAAAGTAAGGTAATGGTGGGGTTAGGGCTGGGCATTTTACATCTGAGCTTTGAATCAATTGGATTTCTGGCAGCAGCTGGATTGTACAGAACCACAGTTAACCTCTGGAGCATTCTGAGACTCTTTTGAGAGACAACCCCTTAAATGCTTTTTGCCATGAAGCACCATAGCATATATGATGGTGGCTTTTCCTATAAGATACTAACTGAGCTGCTTCAGTTAGTTACGTTTGATGTTTTTTTTTAATTTTCAAACACTACTGGGAAAATATATTCTTGTCCAATAATTATAAAAAGTCTTTTTGATTTCTTGAGCACATGGACAAATGAACTTGATTTGAAACTAGAGCCATAGGTCATGCATGTTAGTACTTTATTATTTGGCTTACTGCCATGTTATAACAGAAAACATAAAATATGAAAAAGGTCATTTTTGTTAAACAGTGGAATTTTTCTTCAACTAAGATGAATCAAATTTCCTTATGTATGTAAATTCATATATTAAACACAAAGTTTTATATGACACCAATTCACATAGCATAATGGAGTCACCATTCTCTAGAATGTGTGTTTCTGTGAAACTTAACTTGCTTTAGAATTTTTAAATTTAACCTTGCACAGAGGCCAGCTCCTGAAAGCTATGAAAAATTCCCAGTGGCTGATGTGGGAACCTCTTTCCACTGCTGCCCAGCCCTCAGGATGTGCAACTTAGTGAAGGGAGAGAATTTTTTTCTAGGAAAAATGAGCCTCCTTTTATTTTATTTCATTTTCTTTTTTGACACAAACTGTAGATTTTAGCAGCCCTGGCCCAAAGGAATTTGATTACTTTTGTTTTAAACAGTACAATGGGGACACTATAATTACAAAAAGAAAAAAAATCCTTACTGATTTTAGTTGTTTTAAATTTGATTTCTTTGGATATGTTTTCAGAGTGGTCAATTGTGTGTGAGCATTACAAATGATGATTCTTTTAGTGGTTTCTTAGCCTCTCTTACAGCCCATGGGGATAGTACTGTACATCAATACCTTCATATGAAATTTTTATATGCAATGGAAATAAAAGCATGGGTTGATTCTGCCTATTTATGACTCGATCATTTAAAAATAAGAGTATTCATTTTAACTTGTAGTTCAGTCAGCACTTGTTTCCAAGAGCCATGAGGATTGTTAAGGTGAAATAAAGGATAGTGACATCATACATTACTACATATTTGTAGTCCAATAAAGCCAAATTATGTAGCTTAATCTTGCTATAGAGTAAAAAGGCAAAATTATGTAGATGGCCTATAAGACAGCACAGTAAAAGGCTTGGGAAGGGAACTTCTCTGAGTGTTCTGGCATACTGAAAGTTATTCAGATACTCAACAGTTATTTTCTGGGTCCCTCTGCAAACTCCAAGACTATAAGGATTCATCAGTGAACAGACATAATTCAGCTTTTGTGAGTTTAAGGTCTACAGGGGACAAAGGCACTGAACAGTTCCCTACGCAGCGTCGTGAGTGTCCTCAGTGCAGCAAAGAAGCTGAGGTGCTGTGACTGAGCAGGAACCTGACCTTGGTCTCTTCCAGAGGGCCAGGGCCAGAGAAGCCTTCTCTGGCGGTGATGTAGGGCTGAGCTCTGAAGGAACTCAAAAGGTAACTTGGCAAAAAGGAAGAGCTGACAGGAAGAGAGGGGTCCAGACAGAAAACTTCATTTGTCCTGAGGTACACATGAGCTCCAAACCTCGGGAGAAATGGAAGAAAAGCACTCCTGCTCCCTTGATCTTTACCCTCTGACCCTGCTTTCTTCCCTTTATAACCCCACAAACTGACATGTGACTTCCCTGGTAGCTCAGACGGTAAAGCATCTGCCTACAATGCGGGAGACCCAGGTTCGATCCCTGGGTCGGGACAATCCCCTGGAGAAGGAAATGGCGCCCCACTCCAGTACTCTTGCCTGGAAAATCCCATGGACGGAGGAGCCTGGTGGCCTACAGTCCATGGGGTCGCAAAGAGTCGGACACAACTGAGTGATTTCAC